ACTAGGTGCGTTCTACTAAGTCGCCCTGACAACAAGACCAAGTTGCGACAACGAGGTCAACCAACTTCTAAACATCGAAAGGAGATTGCGACCATACCAGAGGCCACAACATCTTGGCATTCATATCTTCAAAACAGTCCAAGTTCACCGGTTCAAGATGAAAAAAATGACACAACCCTTTCAGCAAGGCATAGGAATCCGTGTGGCTTAACCTCGTTTTTCGTAACTTTGTCGTGTTGTCAAGGTGACCTAGTTGAACTCTTCTTGTCCCAAGTCGTCTGTCCTACTAGGTATCATGATTTCTAGCGTCCGACTGTGAACTTGGTACATTCTTAGTCATTTCGTCTGCACCAGAGTCGGCATCGTCAGTAAATCTTGTCATTCTCAGCGATAAGCTACAACTTGTCAAAAAGACAGGATCGTCTGCATTTGTCCAGTTGACGAGTTATAGCTTATTGCCGAGAATGACAGGACTAACTGACGATGGTGGCGAAGTACCCGAGAATGTACCAAGTCAACCATCGGACACTTGAAATAATGATAACTAGAAGAGCAAAGAGTTTGGACAAGGTGCCTCCAACTAAGTCCCCCTAACAACACGACCAAGTTGAGAAATAGAGGTTAGACCATTTCTATCCATCGGAAGGAGACGACGACTAAAATAGAAGCCACAATATTCTGGCTTTCGTATCTAGGCTTGAACAAGCCGGTTTCTGTTATCGGCTGTTGGCATGTGTGGATGCAAAGACAAGATACATGTAAGAAATAGTTAGATTTGATTGGCAGACCTAAAGGATAAATAGGCTTTTGAGCAGTCAAATCCACAGATCTTTTGGTAGTTACGCTTCCAAGCCCAGTTGTTCTGCCTCACAAGCAGACAAAATGCTCATCAACACGACCAAAAGTATATGCAGTATTACGCAATCCGAGAGATGTTTAAAAGATATGATAAAAGGGGAGATTGGTAGTGTTATATTTTGTTTTAATTGACATGACCTATACTTGCCGATTTCCTACATACAAGCAGACACATGCACATGTTCCCGAACGGGTAACTGAACCGTATACCTCAACAAAATGCATGCCTGCCCGTCGTCACGGGAATCGAAGAAGGTTGCCTCGATGCAAGCGTCAGCAAGAATGTTCCAGTAAAGCCAACCGACAGCTGGCCAAAAGGAAGTGGCCATTCTGTCATGGTGGGATAGACCTACACGAATCGCTTGATTGCACATTTTCACTTAAAGTGGAAGTGAATTCGCAACAAGTGGAAACCAAGAGATTCCTCGAGGCCCGAGTTTTAAAGAATGTTCAAGGGAAAGCTAATAACTTGTCGAGAGGAATCTTCCGTCGTCTTCCTGTGGGATTGGCCTACACACACAAGTTCACTTTAACTGGCACTAGACCCAACGAGTGGAATCCAAGAGAGTCGTCAAAACTCAATTTTGCCACAATGTTCCATAGAAGCCATCCGACAAATCACTAAGAGGAATCCTTCGTCGTTTTATTCAACAAACACTTTTACTTGAAATGAGACCAGTTCAACAATCGGAAGTCACAAGACTTGTGAAAAGTTGATTTTTCAAACAAACATCAACTTGTCACTCTGGGTGATCGACGTGCACGAATTCCTTCCTCCTATACACTCTCAACTCGAAATGAAAGTGAGCTCGGCAAGTGGAATAAATCTTCTTTCTTGTCGCATGACAACCGATGATTTGGCTCTGTTACAGCCAACTCGAACGAGTATGTCTAGAGCAAGCAGTCCCTCAAGACGCGTCTTGTCAAGCCCGACGACAAGTGGCCAAAAAAGCACTCGTGCTGCAATTCCTCCCGAAGTGGAGGAGACGACGACAACGACAACAACAACAACAACGACAACGACAACAACGATAACAACAGCAACAACAAAATTCCCTTTTCGCACACACACGTTTTGTTTTTATTTTGTCTTGTCTCGATATCATTCCACCTCGCTCAGAGCGAAAAGTAGAAAAGTAGAAAGGTAGAATCCGTCTTTTTGTTCAGCCCTGGCCTTGACTGCTCCCCTTCCCATGCCGGTTTTGTGCTCTCGCCTACAACGCGTTACTGGCGCACAAGGCAGCCGGTTGTGGTGCAATCCGGTATCGCACAGTCAACATACCTCGTGTCCACTTGCTCGGGTGACAGTGTCTGCAGTGCTTAGGCGCTCAGTGTAAGGGTGTGTCCAAACTGGTGGTCGAGTCGGCCTGCCTCTGAATGCTCGCTTGTCATCCTTACTTTGTCTGCCTGTATGTAGGCATGGTGTGCCTGTGTGTAGGTGTGTGTGTGTGTGTGGCGGTTTTTTGTGTTTGTGCCTGTGTGAGAGAGTGAATGAGTGAATGAGCGAGGGAGTGTGGGCTGGTGCCGGTAGTTGGCGGTGCGTGATATGAATGCGCCAATTTCTGGGCGTCTCGAGTCGCCTTCGCGTCGATCGTTGCCAGAGGCAGCCTCACCGGCTGATTCATCAATGCGCCTCCCCGAGGCGAACAGACCTACGCGCTGCACACTGCCACACAGACGCAGACGCAGCCACAGACGCGCCCAGACTGGTGCATTCGTACTTTGCCCCAAGTCGACGCTTTCACCGTAGCTACGGCGAGGGCGAGGGAGTCGAGTTGGCGTGCTAGCTGAGCCGGCGGCTGTCGTGGTGCTGTGTTTTTGCGCTGGGGCACTGCGCACCAGACGCTCTCGAGGACGTGAGCAAACAGACTCGCATTCGGAGGCGTAACCAGCCCAAAGTCGGTGTGTCTGTCCGTGTGTATACGCGTTCGCCTCCTGCCTTGGGCAGGGTGGGGAGCCGGTCGGGCTGTCTCTCTCTGCACCGGACGGGGCGGCAAGAGACCCGGACCAGTCGCCACGCCTGAAGCTGCCTTACACGAGGGAGAGACTATGTTTGCAGCCCGATCGATCGCACCAGACGCCTCCTCCAGGCACGCAGCTGCCCCATCCGACTAGGAGAGGCGGCGCGTTCACACATACATACATACATACAAAAACAAACAAACAAACATACATACATACATACATACATACACACATACATACCTGCAGACAAACAGATTGATGTATAGATGGATATAGATAGATAGATAGATAGATAGATAGATAGATAGATAGATAGATAGATAGATAGATAGATA